ATGTAAGAAAAACAATAGATGATTTAAAAAAAGTGATGAAAAATTTTGAATCCAGAGTTGAATTCACAGAAGATTTGCAGAAAATGAGTGATGTGAGTACTTGTTTTTAGTTTTCTACATTTTTAGAAAATATTTTCAAAGAAAATTATTACCTTGGAGACATCTCACAGTCAAGGAACAAATCAGCTGAGATTCTAGATGCTTTCAGGGTCTGTCTCAGGCTGTATGATTGCTTTTATGGTAATTCTAATGTTTTGGAGATTTGTATTATTAATATGTCTTTTTAATTTAAAAAATAGGCAGCAGGTGATATTGTTGACATAAGAGAAGAAATTAAAAATGACTTTGAATTCAAAGGTAAGCAGTAAGATTATTTTGTGTATATTTAGGTGTTTGCTGTTTCTGTTGATGATCAAGTGGTTTTCTGTGAGATAGTTGTGACTTTTAATGTGATACTTCCTTTTTTACTCTAAAGATGCAGATATTTATTCCATTATGCATTAATTTTTTTATATAAAATTTTTGGTTAAATAATATGATTTTTGATCTAAGTATTGAGATTACATGGCTTTTTCTTTCCCCCTGAAGTTCTCCAATAATGTAAACCTCTATATCTTAGAAGGTATATATTCTGGACATGGCTGTGTTCCTAATTTGATCTTTGACCTTGGTTAAGTCATAAAATATCTTTTGCTAGTTTTTCTCTTTTTAAAGCTGCAGCTCTAGATGTTTTTGGCAGACGGAATGGATGTAGTGTGTCTGGGCTCTTCCCTCTGGTGTCTGCAGGGGCTTTTCATGCACTGGTTGTTCCCAAGTTCATCCAGTCACTGCCTCTTGCCAAGGATGGGTCGTGTGTTTTCGTTTACTTGAAAAAGGCAGTGCCCCTTTGTCAGTTATAAAGTGCTAACCGTAGTGAAAAATTTAAAATATTTCAGAAGTGATTTATAATTTGCTAAAATACAGTTACATTTTAACATTTTGATTTTTAACATTTAAAGTAAAGATACTTTTAGAAGCCATATTCTAGACATACTGTGTTATGTGGTGTCACAAGTAACAGAAAGCAGCTTTAGAAGGTGAAAAAAAGGCAGATGTGTGTTAATGTTAAAGAGCAGAAAGAGCATTTCTGTTTGTGGTGACTGAAAAGTTCTGTGTGCTACAGGTTTTAAATAAATGATTGCTAGCAAGTGTGCTGTCAGTGACAGTCACAGAGAATAAGGCTGTGAAACACAATTTTGATATTTTCAAATTTAGACAACAGTGCTGTACTTTTGAACATATGGTGGACTTGAGGTCATCTGGTAGTCCCATATCTTAACAGCAGACAGCATTTTAGACTTTTCCCCTTTACTTTCTTTAAAGCTTTAATTTGTTTTATTAAAAAATAATCTTTTTTAAAAAATGAAAAGGAAAGGCATTTGATCTGTTGCCTCCCCTTGCGTGAGGATGACAAACAAAGCAAAGCAGTTAAAGAGCAGAGGTGTCATGTCTAAAATTGTGGTGGACCGTCCCAGAGATTGGCCGCTCGCGTTTCCTCCCAGGGTGTTTAGCATCCACAGTGCTCTGTGGTGAGGCTTTTGTATGTTACTCCAGTAACTCAGCTTTCTTGAATAAGGGAAGTAAATGGTGATTTAACGTGTACTTGCGTTTTCAACCCGAGTGCAGTGCGTTCTGGGCATTTGTGCCTGTGCGTTTTTCAGTCTTTAGTTCAGTGTTTGCTGTGCATGTGGATTCTCTGGGCCTCTTGTTGAAATGGAGTTTCTGATTCAGAGGCCCCGACAGTCTGTACCTCTGACGTGCTTCCAGGGATGCCAGTGCTGCCGGTCACAGACCACACTTCTGCCGAGTTTGTTGATAAAAATTGTGTCCCCTTGGCCTCGACATCCCCTTTGCCCCACATGAAAATCTCACACTGAGTCTGGATTTGTGCCTTTTTAATGCTGGCTGTTTGCTAATAATTCTGTCATTCCTTTTTTAAAATAGCAAAACACCGAATTGCTCATAAACCTCATTCCAAACCAAAAACTTCAGATATTTTTGAAGCAGATTTTGCAAATGATGGAAAACCCAAAGACTGGCTTGCTGATAAGGAGCTCTGGGCTCGACTGGAAGAACTAGAGAGACAGGAGGAGTTGCTGGGTGAGCTCGAGAGGTACGTACTTAATGACAGCTCGTCTTTCCAGGGTGATTTGTTCCTATACACATTTCCTCATTAATCAAATACTATCTGCTTATTGAAGGAAATACAGAAAAGCCTAATATATTAAATTATCAATAATCCTTCCACTTCAGGGTTTTTTAGGATTCTGTGTGTGTATTTCCACGCATGTATTTGTACATAAACACTTAAGATCAACATCTTCATTTTTTTATTATAGAATTTCAGCTGTATTTTATATAATAATCATACCAGTTAGTTGACTTTTAATAATTATGGATGCCTTGTATATTAAATTTCAAATGAAGTATTTTTGTATCACATTCAGGATATACTCTTCAAACGCCTGGTTAAAAAGAAAAAATTGCTTTGGATTTAGGTTTGAGACTGTAAAGTATTTACCCTTGCTCTCCTGTAAACTTGTCTGTGTATGGAGCAGGCAGTTTGCAATCTGGTCAGGTAGTTAACACGTGTGAGGAACTCGACCCTGCTGCTTTCTGAAGCACACATTCACACACATTTGGAGTTGTAAACGTGCTAGCTGAAGTCTGTTCCTGTGCAAGTTCCTGTACTATTTTGCTTAGTTGATGTGCCTTGTGTGGTAGGTAGTTTCTGTGGAAAACAGGACAGGAGGCTGAAAAGGTTTTTTCCTCTTTCATTTTTACCTACACATTTTTAGATCTTTTTGATTAACTGATATTATTTTATTTTTAAAAACCAGTTTTGGATCTTGTGATTTTCTTGGTCATGATTCTTTTTCTGTTGTTTCATCTCTATGGCATTTTTGATTTTGTTATTTTTGTAAGGTCTTCAAATCTCTTATAGAATGAAGGACAATAAATGTGCATTTGTGTATATAAGTATATTCACTGCAAAATAAGTACATTTGTATTTAAAAATCCTTATAAAATATTCTGAGTATAGATACAGAAAATAAGAATGTCTTGTGGTTCTGTGTCTTTAAATAGAAATACGTATTCTGAATTTCTTAACAAATTTCTCATTCTGTAATTATTGATGATATATTTATAATGTATCTAGTCAGTATCTTCTTTCCAGAGATGAACTTTTTGTCATATGGATTCTACTTCTTTTTGAATAATTGCATTACACATAAGTGGCATAGGGGCTTATACTTTTGGTTAATTCATTTAAACATCTTTTCTTCTAGTTTAGAAAGTACATTCCAAATTTTGATTTTTACCTATTGAAACAAACTGAAAATTAATGTATGTTAAATTCTAAAGTGTTGGTTAGATCTTATTAATTTTTCTTTTCTTTACTAGTAAACCTGATACTGTGATTGTGAATGGAGAAGATACCGCATCTTCTGAAGAGGAAAAGGAGGGTCAAAACACAAATGTGGATGTGATGCCCCAAGTGACAGACTCCATTGCTCCCAGCAGTTGTCTTAATGGTGGTGCAAGTTCAGAACTGTTCAATGGGCAAGTGAATACTCAGTTGAACTGTTCAGTGAATGGTTCAGATTCTTATCCCAGTGATGAAGATGATGACCACGATGAGGATGATGATGATGGTGATAATGACCATGATGCTTCAGGGGTTGGAGAGAATTCTATACCAACAATATATTTTTCTCATACTGTTGAGCCTAAGAGGGTTTGTATACGTTTAATTTTACTAATTTTGTATATAATTTAAACATTAAATATCTTTTAAAATATCCTTGATATTTTCTAAAAGAATAACATTAGCAGTGATTAGTATCTCTGTAGCACCAAATAGGAAAATCATCTTTTGCCTTTTTTCCTAATCTGTCTAAAAAGAGAAAGGGAAAACCTATCTAGTTGCTAGTTCTGGTCCATTGTTCTCTGAAACAAAGTTTGAGGTTTGGAAGGGGATCAGATCTGAGTGGCAGCTGCTGTCACTTGTCCTGCCCTCACTAGAGAGCTCGCTGAGGGCCTCAAGCTGATGGTGTGGTGGGTGTTTTGGTGTCTGTAGGTTATCGAAAGTGACTGTATTGGTGGCGCCTGTGGCTCAAAGGAGTAGGGTGCCAGCCCCAAATGCCAGAGGTGGCAGGTTCAAACCCAGCCCCAGCCAAAAACTGCAAAAAAAAAAAAAAAAAGAACATGACTATTAGTTAAATTTTTAATTATACCAGGTTGCTGCTTTCTAAGTGGGAATAAAATTAACAGGAACATTACGAGCAAAATGGGAATCTAAGGAGGAAGTAAAAATTAGTTCCCTTTCTGACAAAATAAATATAAACATCTATGGATAATCATGACTTTAGAATTTTGGTATTTTGGAACTGGGATGACTGTAGGGATTTTCTAATACAGAGTTTTCAAACTTTTTTTTTTTTTTTTTTTTACTGCTAAAAGCCTTTAATGTAGAATCCCAGTATTTAAAACAAATCACGGTAGGTTGGCTCTGGCTGAAGGAAGGACAGGCTGCATCAAGCCCACCCTCGCCCTCCCTCTGCTCTCTACACCACTCTGTAGAGACAGCAGGAGTTCATCCATCTAACCCTCCTTCTCAGGGAAACACAAGGCTCAGAACACACAGCTGGCTGGTAACACGGGCTGCTGCCTCAGTCAGTGCTCACCCGGTGCAAATCCTGTTGCCTGCGCCGGAGTTGGGGGCTGCGGTGTGGGTCTTAAGTGCATGTGATCACTATCTAATGAAACATGTGTAAAACATACTCAGTATTTTGTAGATTCCTTAGGTTATTCTTGCTGTAATATAAAATGAAATAATAATATGGTTTTTAATATTCTAATATGTCACACTAGAGAGATCATCTTCTAAATTCTTGGCAAAGGTTAACTGAGATGATTAGCCAGAAAAAAAAGTATGTTTTATGATTCTTTTTCCAGGCTTTTAATTTTTTCTTATTTTCATTTAAATAAAGCAGGAAGAATAAACAGTGTTTTCAGGAATGTTATGGGAAAGAGTGGTCATTAATCCCCAAAGTATGGCATAAATGATGAGTAGGGGTAAAGAATACATGTTAGTCCTGAACAGGGCTGGGTTTTAGTTTTCAGTCCTTCAGTTTCTAGAAATGAGAGGCATTTAAAAATTCTTACTAGTATTTAGTTTATCTGTATTTTGCTTTCTCTACAATAACAAAGACACTGAAGACTAGAATTGATCAGTAAAGATGTTATTTAATGTCATAGAAGTAAAAAGTGAGAGTCTTTTTTACCCTACCTGATAATAAACATCATTTCAGCTGCCTCTCTTACTGTTATTTCTATAATTAAGGAGTTTATTTTCTTAGTTTTGCTTGTGATTTAACTTCGCAGAAAGTTCTTAAGTTTTTGCTATGAAATTCTTAGGTCCGAATAAATACCGGAAAGAATACCACTTTAAAATTCAGCGAAAAGAAAGAAGAGGCCAAACGCAAACGCAAGAGCAGCACCAGCGGCGGCCACTCTGCCCAGGAGCTGCCCCTGATCAGGACGCCTGCGGACGTCTACAGGTGAGGGGCGCCCAGACACAGGCCGTCTGCTGAGCCTTTCTCTCTTTACAGGAAAAAGTTGTCTGCAGCACAGAAGACTCACTGAAAAGTGAGGTGTTGGATAGAGTCAGCTCAGTGTCGGAGAGGCTGACAGAGGCAGTGAGGGAGGATTTTTCTTTTTTCTCTTCATCGGTGATTTTGAAACATTCTCAGTTTGGTCTAGTCAGGACATTTTGTATCTTTAGAAATGAAAATCTGTATTTCTTGTTGGCTACTAAAGCAGCTGCGTGATGTGCCTGGCGTGCCGTTCACGCGTTCAGAGTAGAGACTGATGATGCAACTCCAGTTTTCTGTTGTATAATTGGTGGAGAAAGCATCATATGAAGATGTCTGTTTTCATGACCCATATTGAAGGTACCATTGTGAAAATTGCTAAATATAAATAGATCTGAAACTCTGTAGAAGTTTGGCAGATCAAGCTTTTGTCACCTAGATCATGCCTAAAAATAACATGCTGTATTAAGAAATCATGACTTTCAGAATAATATAAAAGGTGCTGTTTGTGGCTGCAAAGGTATTGGCAATGTGAAAATTCTAGACGTAAAGTTTCAATTAAAAATTTTTGATTGATTTCTAGATAAGTTTAAAGAAATCTTTATCATTATTCTCAGCAGTTTCCTAAAGTGAATGTGTATTTTTTGAATATCTTAGAGTCTTTGTGGACGTTGTGAATGGAGAATATGTCCCCCGCAAATCCATCCTGAAGTCCAGGAGCAGAGAGAACAGTGTGTGCAGTGACACCAGTGAGAGCAGTGAGTTTGATGACAGGCGGGGAATTCTGAGGAGCATCAGCTGTGAAGAAGCCACTTGCAGTGACACCAGTGAGAGCATCGTGGAGGAGGAGCCGCAGCAGGACCAGGAGCAGAGGAGGCCGGGCCCCTCGTCGGGGGCGTCTGGGGCGTCTGAGGTGCGTGTGTGTCTCTACTCCTTAACTTAGACAGTGTCCCTCACCAGGTTTTACCATTTAATCTGAAAAGAGATAGGATTTAATTCTAGGTTTGTACTTGCTCGATAGTCATTTGTAAAATATTAATGTAAAAAATTAATATAGTTTTTTTGACATTCATATAGTTCAAAAAATTATTTTTGTAAAAGTATTGCCTATCTTGAAATTCTATTTCTATGAAATGGGAATTTTAAAATATTTTAATTGGCACATATGCTACATATTTTTGGCTAAAAAATTATTTAGTGGTTATTTTAAATAAACCCCCAGTGGACCAGATTACACTCATTTTCTGACAGTTCAAGTAGTAGATTATACTGTTCTTTTTAAATATCCTGGTTGAGTTGAAAAACACGTATGTGTCTCAGATAATTATCTAAAGCTCTGTGTTTTGGCCCGTGCCAGTAAAACTTAACTTTTGGGAGATTATGGAATCACTTTACAATCTGATGAGAACTGTAGACCTTTTATTCTGAAAAAATCAGCACACACTGTGCACTTTCCCTGCCCAGGTCGGGTTGCTGACAAGTGTCTGAAAACCATTTTTTTGTAAGAACTTAATGTATCATGGTATAACTAGAGTGTGTAACATACTTTAATCTCCCCTTATTAGCTGTGCATTTTGTACTGAATTGTTGTAGTAGGTGCTATAAATTTTTTAACATCAAAGAAATAATTCATAATTATGGCAAGTACTTGGAAAAGTCTTCTTTTCAATCTTTTTAAATGCTAAAATATTATCTTCAAATGCATTTTAAATAGAAGATTTTATGCTCATCATGATAAAGTGGAGTTTTTAAAAAGTAAATTTTAAGCTTCTTTTAAGAGCTGAACTCCAAATTACTGTGGAGGAAGGTGTCTCTCTGCAGCGTGGGGCAAGGTGGGAGAGGGTGGCTGTGAAAACTGCTCTGCTGTACATTGTCTGAACTAATTTTGAACAGTTGGTAGACAATGGGAAACAGAATACACATGAAGTTTTACACGTCAGCTTTTAGTTTGTACATAATAAGTTCTTGGAAGATGTAGGAGGGGGAAGGCTCCAAATAGCGGAAGTCTTAAAAAAATGTAACAATGCTTGGTTTTTATACATTTTAATGTAAGATAGTATATGAAGATATTTCCAGTAGTTAGTACACCATTATTTAATTTTGTTCTAGTTGACCAAAGTAAGTCCATCAAATGTCCAGTTGAAATTAGAGTCATTTTTTGTGGTACTTCTGATTCCCATTATTGAATTAATTGTATTAAAATTTTGTAACCTGTGCTTATTCCCCCTAGCATTAGCACTTTCATTTTTTAATTTCCACTGATCTCTTAAATAACATTGAGTTAAGACACAATAAAATACTCAAATAATTGCATAACTGAACCCCCAACAAGTAGATCAACACTGGTGAAGCTGTTCTCTGCCAGCAGGCAGCGAGGCGGCCACAGGAAGGCTCGTTCCTCCAGCGATGTTCCAGGGTTTGACCTTGACGCTCTGGGAGTGTTTTTTTAAAATACACTGTTTCATAGCATGGGCTAAACATGAGTGGGATGTATGAAGTTTCAGAACCTCTTATTTATCTGTTTTTGTTTTTTCCCAGATAATGCACACATTCTATATTTTGTTTTCTTGCATGTATACTATAAAAATTACTTACATTTGGTAGTGTATGAAGAAAAAATTCTTTAAATAATTAGCATTTTGATGTTGTAGTGTTGTCTAGCCAAAACTCTTGTGAATTTACTTTTAATGAAAAGAAATGTCTAACTTGCAAATAGAGAATGAAAATTTTGTGGGCATCTTACTTGTGTTTTATCATCATAACCCAACTTTTGTCTTCTAGGCTTTTTCTGGAACTGTAATAGAAAAAGAGTTTTTATCGCCCTCCCTCACATCGCACCCGGCCCTGGCCCATCCTGTGCTGCCTACCATCCCAGAACGAAAGGAAGTTCTGTCAGAGGCATCGGAGGAAACTGGGAAGAGGGTTTCCAAGTTCAAAGCTGCCAGACTGCAACAGAGAAACTAGGCCCTGCCTAGGAAATGGGAGTTCACATCCCAAAGCCCACTTGTGCATTTGTTCAGAGTTTATAGAGCAAAATCTGTTACACGTAGTTCAAAATAAGGCATCCTAAGTTAGTATGACATCAGAGTCTTTTACCTTTATCAGTGGTATTAAAAAAAAATCAAAGCAAATGTTTGAATGCTTTAATATTTGGCTTGTGTTGTTAATTCTCTGAACACTGTCAACACTCTCGTCTGAGTTTGCCTTATGATGCAGCGGCAGCATCCTGGATCACTTTTCAAAGAATACTGTTCATATGCATTGTTTTGTGTTTCAAACTAAATACAGACAGTTTTGTACCAGCTGTGATGTTGTGCATACCATATGGACCATTTTAAAAGAAATTTTAAATAGATACAACAGTTATATTATTTGCTTTCTCAGTGTAAAGGCTCTTAAAAATCTACTTGTAGGTTTTGCAGCTAGGTGGCCATTTAAAAACTCACCTGTCCCCTCTAAATGTCATACTGTAATCAATCTCTAGGGCAAAAAGCTACCTGGAGCCTGTGGGAACGTTTCTTCGGTTGGAAGTATGATATTTTGTAAAACATTTTTTTTTCCCAAGTAAAAATTTTATAAAACTTGACCTCTGAAATGCTGCGAGCTTTGTGACTCAGAGTGTGCCTGTGGCTGTGATTCATACGGTGGGACCTGAAGCGCTTGGTAGGTCCTGGGTTCTTGCAGCTCCTTGGGCCCATCTTCCCCTCTGGTAGGCACATGGCTCATGGGCTTATGTTTTCTGGAGACAAGAGAGGTTGTCTGGATGCTAAAAAATAGATAACTTGATTAAAATTCCTTGTGTTTTAATTATCTCAACTTTTTTATTCTTTAAGGCTACTTTCCTACTAGTAATAACTGAACTCACATATTTACTTTTAGCAAAATTCCTTAAAATAAAAAAAAAATTATTCTAACATTGAAAATTGCATTGCAAGTTAATCATTAGCTTGATGCATGCTAAAACATAGCTTTTAAAAAGCATTCTGCATTAGTACTAAAATAAGCCATCAATGCCAGTCCACCCTCTCTCTATTCATGGCTAAATATTTAAAGGTTATTTATAGCTTATTTAATGAATTCTTGCTTAAACAAAGTGAAATTATGTCCTAGAAAAGTGGAACCTATTTGTAACTAGAACAGCAGAACTGTAAAAGTTTTATGAATATGTATTTTAATGATAAGGGGGTGAGCTTGAATCTCCAGTTGTTAATGGATAATTCAGAATAGACGACTGATTTTGAAAGATTGCCTAAAAATGTAGTTTTGTTCTTTAGTTAATTTTGGTCAACTTTGCATGTATTCTGTAGTTAAGAGACTAATTTGTCTTTCAGTCTATCCTCCCACCCAAAGACTTAACCAAAACAAAGAGTACGAGGGCTGACAATTAAGTCCATGAACTCGTCTTAGAAATTAAGTGCTGTGTACGTTCCTCATCGGGGAATATCACCAGTCACGTTTGACGTCCTCCCCCTGGAAAGCTGTGCACCAGTACCAGCGCCTAGTCCACCCTTCAAAGCAGCTTTGGGACTCTTGGGTATGGCCATCAGAGCGGTCGTATGACTTTCTGCAACAGTAATGAGCACCACACAGCGGGGGGCACCACACACCCGGGTGAACACCAAGGCTGTGAGCCCATCTGCGCTGTTTGTAAGTGCTGCCAGTGTGAGCCGACGCGGCAAGTTTGTGAACTTAATTGTCAGACTTTGTACAACAACAGCTCTGATGGCCGTTCCAGAATAGGGCTCCAGAACTGCTTTGGACGGGGCTGCACTCCTGTGTAGCTTGCGGGGGTGGGCGGGGTGGGGTGTTCACGCGAGGGTGCAGCATTGCGTCCAGGACGGGGCTGTGATCTCAGTTGTCAGACCTGGTACATATCTCACACACACCGATTCCAACCGCTACTTACCTGAGCCTTTCTGTACTAAATTTTCCTCCAGAAACAAACTATTGTAGGATGATCGCAGTGTTGTTACCGACATGAACTTTTAGGAGTCCTGTCGGTCGATAATCTTGCATGTTCGAAACTCGATTTTGAGCCTGCCACCTTGGTGGTCTGTGAGTTCTTTCAGATGGGATGAAAGAACCCCCCTCTTCCCTCATGGGATGAGGTTGTAACAGAGGTAAAGGAAGAGTTTGACACACATTTTTGTGTTCTGAAGACCAAATGAATTAGTCCTGCCTTGTTTCATAGCTTGAGTCTTGTAACAAAGTTTTAGATTGTAACTTAAAATTATAAATTTATGTTAAACTCAAGTGGAACAAAATGAAAGTCTTAGTATTCTGCACAGAACAGCACACCAAGAGATTCTTTCTGTTTTGATCTATTTTTAATCTTACAGAAAAACTGCATAAAACAGCACAGAGTTTTGCCTACACCAGCGCCCCTCATGCACCACATGCCCTCAGCCAGCATCCCCTCACCTTATAATACATAATTATACTGTCATTATCGAGCCAGGAAATGCACCAGGTGCAGTGCTGTGAACTACAGAGCACAGACACTCCCTGATCCTACCGACATTCCTCTAACGTTTCTCCTGTCCCAGCGTCTCAGCCCCAACCCTGTCCTGCATCATTGTTGCTCCTCAGCCTCCTGTAAGCTCTGACGGGTCCTCTGCCTCTTCTTGTCTTTCGTGACTTGGAGGGTTTTAAAGTACTGGTCAGACACTTTGTAGGATATTCCTCAATTGGGGTTTGTTTGATAGACTCACATGGTCAGAATGAGGTTTTGTGTTTGTGATGAGACTATCCAGAGATTCACTGCGGTGTGTCACTTGAAGAGGTCCTTATTTCGGTCACTTGGCTAAAGTGACGTCTGCTAGGTGCCTTCATATACCGTCACCATCTTTCCCTTTGCAGTTCGTAAATACAACAGGAGGTGCATTGAGATGACGCAGTTATTTCTCTCCTCACACTCAGCCTGCTGACCGTTTCCTGGTTTCTCTTCAGCATTCGTTTCTTAGAATCCTTCTGTTATAAGCTGTGCCTCTATCCATCCTATCGCCATTTATTTATTTGTTTCTATCAAACTCTTGGATGTTTACTTTTGTCCTGTGGGTTAAAAGTGAAATTGCTGTCATAGTTTTGTTCAAATCACTCTGCCTTTGATGTTGGGAGCTCCTTGGAGTCACTCCCCCGCTCTTTGAACAAGTCCTCATCCTTTTTTTGAACACTTTTTTTTTTAACTGTCTGACACCACCCAGTGACACAATGCGGCAGGCTCACCTTGTGTTTCTTCATGGAGCTCTGCTTCCTGTAGTTGGAGGATGGAGTTTGGAGACCAGTGTCTCACCTGCATGTGCTGTTGCCACTGGAATGTCCTTGCTTTTTGCTGTTGTCATTCTGTGGAGCTGGAAGAAACACGTGTATATACTGACCCGTGTGTGTGGAAGATACGTGCGCATACTGACCCATGTGTATGGAAGACACAGGTGTGTATACTGACCGGTGTGTGTGGAAGACACGTGCATATATTGACCCATGTGTATGGAATACACAGGTGCATATACTGACCGGTGTGTGTGGAAGACACGTGTGCATACTGACCCATGTGTATGGAATACACAGGT